AAACCACTTGTTAAAACATCTTCAATTGATCGGACTCCTCACCTTACCGTTGAGCCATTCCTTTCCTCGCGGAATTGAGTTAACTGAATACAATTGTCAGAGTGTGTTTCGCTCAGCCGTCCCACTCGGGTGCTGAGTGTGATCCCCGTCACTGGGGCGCTGTCTCATCGTGCAAGCATTAACTGACCTCACCACTTTTCACAGGAACTCCACTGGAAGTCACCTCCACATCCACCGAATTAACTGCCACAACGGCCGCCGGGCCAAAACACGGGACTCCATAGCCGCCGGGCTTTAAAACGGTACTCCACCCGCAGCCAGGCAGGTTTCCCAACCCCCCCCCCAGCCGAGTTCTACTCCCCACCTAATTAGGGCAACATAGGGAAATGGTACTCGACACACTTGTGTGTCGGTGCCTTTCCCTGTGTTGTTCCTGTTCTAGTCTTCTCTACCCGGGCGGTCTAAGACTAAAGTCCCGCTCCCTAACTACTGCACTTAATTATTTTCGGCTAAGTAATCAGTAACTCTAGAGTGCTAGGTAGTCAAACACACACATGTACACACACATGAACATACATCCCCTCCCTGCCCCCCTCACTTTTCTTCTTGCGCTTTCCGTCGTTTGTTGGGCTTTCTCTCAGGCTTTTTAGGTTGCTCTTCAGGCTCGTTTCCCTACCCCAGTCAAGGGCTAAGTATTCATTTTTTCTACACCTATCTTTCTTTCTTGCCCTCTTAGCGCTGCTCTTTCTGTCTTTCCTTTCTTTTGTTTCTAAGGCTTTTTAGGTGACTATCTTACGTTTTATGCCAGAGAGCCGCAAAGCGGCGGAGTGTGTGTGTCACACTCTGTACCTAAGAATTTTCCTTGTTTGATTCCAGCAGGGGCGCCGATCACGGCGATCTGTGTGTGTCAACCCCTGTGCCTAAGGGTTTGGAAAAGCCTGCCACCGCTTTTTGGAAAAAGCGCCGATGACGGCGACCTGTGTGTGTGTCAACCCCTGGGCCAAGGGTTCACTACCGCCACCTCACCCACCGCAATTTTAACCACAGTTTCACCCGCAGGGGGCCAGCGCATGACATCACGACGCTGGCCAACGAAGCTAGTGATGTCATGGGATGCGGTCAGAGACGTCTGACCGTGTACCTGCCAGAAACTGTTGCGCACGCTGTCCAATCTTCCCTTTTTGTTTTCATGGTTCTTCATGCTACCTCTCCCCAAACAGGTTTCTCAGCCACTTTCAGCAGCCGCGCTTTTTTGCAGCTTGTCGCCGCAGTTGTGCACAAACCACTTGTTAAAACATCTTCAATTGATCGGACTCCTCACCTTACCGTTGAGCCATTCCTTTCCTCGCGGAATTGAGTTAACTGAATACAATTGTCAGAGTGTGTTTCCTCATTGCGGGTGCAAGCTGGGACGCATGTTGCTTCGATGCTGGGAGGCCGTAACTCTACAGAAACTACTGACTGGAACCGCCTTCTCAAAGCAACCCTTCTCAAACCATCTCGCCGTCTCCCGCACCTCATGAACCAACTTAAGGCCCTCGGTCTCCAAATCGACCTCAGGGAAGAGTCGCCTCAGAGCTTCCAGTCGTTCGGGCGCAAGGTCCTTGACATAATTCCCTTGCACCTCCACCAGTGACTCCAAGGGCATCTCCACCTCCGTCTCCGTCGCGCGCCGGCGCGCGCCGGCTTTCCGTGGCGCGCCCCGTCGTGCTCGACGCACCATGGAAGCCACGGCCGTCAGGACGGCACCGGTGCTGCACTCCGTGGCGCTCCGTGGGGTGGTCGGCCGTGCCCGGGTCCGGACTGGCCGAACCGGCCGGAGCGGCGCATGGCTGGAGCTCACAGCTCTGGACACGGGTGCCAGTTCCATGCTGGTCATGGGCCCGGCTGCTTCAATCCAAAATCTGCGGAGGCAAGCTGTTAGGATCTGTTAGGGTCTCTGAAAATGTTGAAGGGTGAATTTCTGTGGCAAATCATATAATATAAACTACCATTAATAACCAATGGACCAATATGGCTTGAGTGACCCGCCAATCTGCTTGCTGACATTTGCTGACCAGAACTCACTTGCTGTTGAGTGAGATTTGCTTCTCGATCAGCCAAAGGTGAATGCACCCTGAAAACATGGTAAATGTTAGCTTCCTATCCCAACTCCCTCGGCCGAGTGAGTCAAACGTACGACCAAACTCTCCTCGAACTGGCCCTAGAGGCCCCAGAGTACAGACTGGTGGACGGCCGGGTGCTGAAGAGCGATCCAAAGCCTGGGCGGTGGAGGTCCATGAGCACTTTTTTGGCTAAGGTGTGCTCCGATGACTCTAGTTGTATCATATGGCAGCCCAGGGTGAAGCCAAAATCATGCATGAATTCAATGAAAGAATATGTGCCAAGAATGGAACCACTTGAGATGCTGGCAGATTTTGACCTTGAGTCAGTCAATGGAACTTGGCAGGGCACTCACTAATTGGCAAGCCTCCCATAAGGTGCAGCTGTAGTTACAAGGACAGCGGCCGAAGGACAAGAGCGATCTTGACCTATCTGGAACATGGTGCCAGCACTGCTTTGGGCTATACAAAGGAATTGAGAATTACAGTAACTACGTGTCAAGACAGGCTTAACAACCGCTTGGAACACCAATTTCGATGCACCCTTGCAATCTTCTAAGCCGTTAGCCCTCAGGCTTCATGTGTGCGAGATGTTCAAGTTCCCCAAACCTAGCTCACCCCCCCTAAGGGTAGTTGTTGCAATCCAAGGCATCTTTAAAATGAAGATGAGTTATGCGGCATCAATTGATGTCACCCCCCAAGCTTCCACAAGCACAGCGGCAGCTGTCAGTCAAATGCGTGCTGTCGCCCCCGCTGGTGTAGGGCCTCCGGGCACGGTTTCCCTGGGTAGATAGGGTGAAAGTGCACCGCTGGCGTCTCACCCCTTTCAAGAACATCTCTGTCACATCACAGATCATCTCATGCCTTCTTTGAGAGCTAGCCTCTGGAAGGCCAGTGTTTGATCGTGCCGGTTCTAAGAAGTGGTAAGGATACCAACATAGGATCAAAATCACACAACCCATGGATTTGGTGATCACAAGCATGCATTGACAAATTGCTCAACTCTTTGCTCCAGCTGCTTTGACATGTTTCAAGAATTAGATACACATGAGCGATATACACAATTATACAAGTATCCAATACTACGTGTGTTCAACAACATTCAGAGTTACACCTGAAGCGACAAAGGGTTCAACCATATTCCACCATTTCCCCGTCCGTCCTGCGCATCATTCTTGCAACATCGTCGTCGTCGGCTGGGAGGATCATACCAGTCCTTGACTTGCTTTGTGTGGGTGCCGCTGCCATTCTACTGCAAGCCCCAAAACCGCGCCCGAGCAAGCCCAGAAAATGAGTCTTCGACAGAAAGGGTTTTAGGGTGCAACATCAGTTGAATGGAGCGGACCTTTGGAGAGCATTCAGGGTACTGTCTACTACTGAGCAACAGCTGGTTGCAAAACTGAGGACTCCGTGGGACAGCATGGCATGTGGCGATGCACTTGTTACTAGTAGCGGGAAAAAAGATCCTCATTCACCAAAAGTTGGTCTAAAATGTCCACTTTGGGATGGACAGCTTTCGGCGTCGGGCATCAGCGGCATAAGCCGTCGCTGACCAAGTGGCTCTAGGTGCGCCACATTGGCCAGAGTTGCCTGGCAGGAAAGTGTCAGGAACGTGCAAAGGCCTGCCGAACCCTTATGGACATGGAAGTTGGAACCTTGGGACAAATGACTCGAGGAAAGCTTGATGTAATGTGACTCTTGCGCAGGGAAAAGCACAAGCGTGGTTGGAAGTTCCAGCTGTTGTGCAGTCTGCACAGGTGATTAGGGAAGAGGCCCAGCCGCCCAGCCGATTTCATGATTCTGGTGTAATTCTTGGCTTCTCAAGGTCAGGTGGTTCTTGGATGTTCTTGGATCTTCTTGGTGTCCAAACACTTCATGGTGATTCTGCATGAATCGCTCCTTCAGACCCACTCACCGAGGGAGCACCTTCAAGGGCGCAGGGGGCGAGACGTTGAGGTAGCGAGACTTGAGCTTGGGCGATGTCAAGACCTTGGGCAAAAGGAGCAATGGCTGGCAAAAAGCATCCGCTTCCGCGGTCCGCAGTGCCAACCCCCCACAAAAGAAAGAAAGGGAAGATGTTGGGGGAGGGTATATACATGGAATATGAATGAATATGGATGGTGTGATTGTCCTATCTCGGCCCACTCGAAACAGCGCATGGAAAGCTCCAGAGCCTGGAAACGGCATGCGAGTCATTATTTCTATTTAATTTCTGCACTGAATGAAATCTAGCCACCACAGGTGTGAAGCGATCGCCCGCCATGGCACAGCTGAGAATGCTTCACAACCCAGGGCGATCTGACTTAGATTCTTGTGTTCTTGTGTGTTCTTTTTACTTTATGAAGACTCATAGACCGAAGGTTCTTGGCTTGCTTGGGGCCTTCTTTCTGTCCACTTCAGACTGATCCGCTGGGGCATGATGTCATTGAGCTAAAAGCACAGCCCGCGGCAATCGCCCATTCACAAAAGGATACCAAATGGGACAAAAGTTTTTACGGCCCGGTAGTGGATATATAGATGAAATCCTTCACCATCTACATAGTTGTAAAATGGGTTCGAGTTCGAGTTGATTTGTGGCAATATGCTGTTTAGTTTGCTCCGAACGTTTCCTGGATAGCCATAGGAGCAACTGTTGATCTATATGCGACTGGCCAAGTTCTCTGCTCCAGGGCTGATTAGAACGGGCCAGGAGTGGGTGTCTTTTTACAAGGTCTCTGCAGCACAGGTTGGTGAGACGAATCATGCATTCTGCCCTCAGCGGCCATACGGGTCCACACCTGAAGTCGAACCACGGCAAGCTAAACTACCTTCAAGGCAAGGAGGGGGCTCTGAAAGTGGAAACATAGGAGAAAAAAAGTAAAAACTCTTGCGCACACCTGTGAGAAAAAAACACAAACTCTACTGGGTAGAAAAAATAACTACGTAATTACTTTCATGCTCGAAACTTGACACACCTCTCACAATCCATGAGTCCCTTTGTGGATTCCAATCATCCATTTCCCATTGATCCCTGAAGCACTTCTGAGATGCACCCGCACGGAACCCGGACGACCAATTCTCCCAGCCTCCGAGGTCGCCCTCATCATACTCGTTGCCATCTTCACTGGCCGCCTGGATCTCCGAGCGGCACTCCTCGATGACTTGGCGGATGTCCATGACCTCATTGCCATGCCCAGCACGGGTCTTGTCTTGTCCAAAATGATGGCTTGGACAAGGAAGGCTTGGGGACTTCAATGTGTCTGGAAAATTGCAACATCGTAAACAGTATTTTAATATCATATGTATATTATATATATATATGTATGTGTGTGTGGGTGGCATTGGCCAAAGATGGTCAAAGCGTTCCAGAATTCCAGAATTGTGCAGCGCCTCAAATAATTCCAAGAAGTGGGTTGAAAACATGTCTATATACTTCTTTATTCAGCTAGTGGTCTGCGGTGGCCTGGGAATGTGGTCTTATGTCTTGCCTCATCAGCCACCCCCAAACAAAAACCGATCAAAATGGACCTTATGTGTTGCTTGAATTGGGCTGTCAAGGGGCGCCTCAAAGATCCAGGATACAACAACAAATTGCTTCTAATTTGAGCAAAGGCCCTGTCTTCTATATGTCTGCCTCTCTCTCAGCAAAGAAACCTGACAACCTCTCATAGCTCATCTCAGTGCCCTCCACCACCGGGCTTCCGACTCGCTGGCGATTGCGGTTGTACTGCCGCCCGCGGTGGTTTTCAAAGAAGCTGCGATTCCAAGAGTTCATCCTTGGGAAAACGTTGAGCATGGTTCGGAAGGGGCTGTCATGACCATCAACATACAGAATTGGTGAAAGACCTGGCCAACCAGCACGTAGCTTAACAAACTTGAACCACAAGTGAATGAAGCTCATGAAATTACAACAGGGTGATGGCCAGAACTGCCAGGAGGCTGATTGTTCATGTAGTCATCTTTGTTCTGGATCAAGCTGTTGTGAGCATCTGTGAAATTGGTCAAGGCCTGGTTCATCTCCTCACGGTTGTTCAAATACTTCGCCTGGCCGCAAACTTCCTTGTGCAACTCGCAAGCCAAGCCTGAGTAACATGGATGAGTCAAAGCCTACGTAATTACTGACTCCATGGGCTTTGGGATTCTTGAGCCGATGCCCGCAACCCTGCGGGACACTCAGGTAACTTCAGGTCACGCGGGCGACATCCGCATTCACAGCAGCGCCGCGATCTTCGGTGCGACTCGCCCGGGGGCCTTCTGCGGGTCGGTGTCTGCCATGGCCGACTCAGATGCTTGGGTGAAGCTTTCGATCTCCGTGTTGGCGCCTGCCGTCGTTTTTTCAGGGGGCCAGGTCGGGGTGCTTTCCTCACTTCGTGCATTTATACAAGTTGGCCCCTTCCACTCTTTGCAAGTTGGACACAAATGCCTTCGGTCAAACCAGTGATGAAGCTCTTCTCCAACTCTTCCAGGCGTTGGAAGAACTCTCGGCTGTTGTCCTGTGAGGGGTTCACCTTCTTTCCTCAGGTGCCTGTGAGCGCTTGTAGGGGCATACGCTCCGGTCGGTGCGGATTGCACAATTTGGATATTTGGATGCTTTTTCTTTTGTTGGCCTCCGAGGCCAATTGAATCCTATTGACATTGACGTGCATATCCCGCAAGTAAAGCACCCGAGTCACCTGAGATTCCGCTCTTCAAACAGTTCGACCGGGCGGGTATCAAATTCTGGACCCGCAGGCACGGCTTCAAATATTATCCGCCTTTATTCCAAAAGGAGCGAGATTTATGGAAAAATGGTAGTCCCTCCTTCTTTAAGAAGACTACCTGGCTATATAACTCCGTTGGCGATTCCATCCTGGTCTAAGGTGACAATGACGGCACTAAAGCCAGCAATGAGCTTGCATACTCTTTAGCTCCGCATTCCGCCCGTCCACCCACAAGGCGGTGCAGTCCAGCATGCCCTTCACCAAATCGCTGATCTTAGCTTCAAAATCTGAGAGCGCTTCTTCGATGCCTTATGTCCCCGCAGGTCAAGGAGTCTGCAACCAGATTTTATACTCTTTTGTACTGCACGCTGGCAGAATAGATTGCGACGACCCTGCACGCCGCTAAAGTTAAAGGAAACGACAACTTGAAACAGCATGATCGACGTGATAGCCATTTAATTTGTCGGGGTCTTGTAGGGCTCCAAAAAATGTTCATCCTTGAGCCCTCAACCACTCGAACGATTGACGGGGATTTGAACGACAGCAAAACTTCAAATGAGCACATTCAACTTGTCCAACTCGACTCATTCTTCTCAAAACCATCAGTGCAAATCCCGAGCAAATGGAAGTAAACTGCAAAATATAGGACTGCTCCAGCTTTTCAAGAAATATGGGGACCAGCGCTAGCCCCAATTTTTCATCAAAGGCATGCTCACGGGAAAGACACCAAAAATGGATTTGAGGCCCGATTATCGTGATAAATCTGATATGCTGTTTGGCGAGGACTCATGCCAATCCCGCAATTGAGAATGCGGTTGTTGTGATTCCTTCGGAAAAAGGAACCCCTGTCGCCCATGGCTCTGCTGCAGGGTGCTTTCCTGGACCTGGATCTCATTGGCCATCCTCAGCAAGGGCTTGTTCACAATTGGATCCGGACGAATCAGGGGCACTCTCTGGAAGCTTTCATGCACAAGTGCGCAACGCAACAAGACACTATATATATAAATATATATATATATATGTGTGTGTGATACAAATTCAATTGAGCGACCGGCAAAACTAGGGGTCCCTGCGTGGAAGTTTTGAGGTAGGTATCGTTTTGGGGGTTGCTCTCTTTTTTTTTCAATCGGTTGTTTTTTTTATTTGGGAAGTGTCATCTACATGTAAAGTAACCAACCTGAACGCAGTGGGCTTGCGAATGGAGAGCGGATGCAAGCTCTCAAACAAGCATTCAGAACTGCACAGCCGGCAAGGCTCAAATGATTCTCCAACCCAGAGAGCTGATCCATAAGTTGCTTGATCAACTCATCCACCTCTGACCGCAGGCGATCATTATCTTCACGATCGATCTGCGACCTCGGCAAAAAGCACGGCCAGCCCTGGATGGAAGAAACACCTGAACATTACACAGTATATATCCCTATAAGCCATTCGAAGATTTAAAGATTGACACTGCAAACGCAGGGAGGTGCAGTTGCTCTTGCGGAAAGAACAAATGGGTGTTTCATGGTGTTTCTCTGCCTCAACATGCCGCTGATTCCAAAGAAAATCCGTATATAAGTTCTGGGCGAGAGGCGAGAGCTGCATTATGGGCATGCAAGACTGTCTTCGACGTTGAAAAGGCTTCTGTTCTGTAGTTTTTCAACTCTTGAGAACTTATGTTCCAGAGCTCACAAATCCCACAAGCTGAGAAGCAACAAACGTCTGGCTCACAAAGAGTCTAAGAACCGGACAAAACCTTCTTCTTCAAGCTTTTGAAGTCCCTGATCGCTTGGAAGGCTTCCTCCTCGCTTTCCGTCTCTGCAGCATACACCGCCTAGCGCCGAGATGAACGGCCTGCTGCTATTCCGGAGCCGCTGTGTGTTTTATCGACCGGTGCGAGGCACCCCATCACTCCCCGCTACACCAGTAACGTCGACATTTGCAGAGCATTGCCAAATTGAGGTGGGTCATGACGTACAAATAGTTAGGGTACTAAGAAATATCCGTACACGGGTGTAATTACCCGTAGGCATCCGTAATTTGCAACACATGTTGAGCTTTGCAGGGACTCGATGCACAAACGAATGATGCTTGACTTGCACTCTTTTTTGTCACTATCTGTTTGGAAGCTTTCAGAGGCGCTCAATCCCGAACAAATCCGTCTTCGTCATTGAAAAATGTAACATTTGAATACCCCTTCCGATTTCACGGGTGGGGATGTGCAGGCATTAGGTGCCTACAGAACAGCGGACCTTTTAAAAAACCTATGTATGACATTGTATGACTAAAATGATCTTCAATATGCCCACTACAAAATGTAAGACCACCTGAGCCCCCCAAAAAAACATGCATCCATACGATCCAATAACATAGGCTGCTACAAAATGGCACTAGCACACTACAAAATGCAAGAACGCAGTCCTGATGTTTTCTGCATACTGTGGCCGCCAAACATATTTCTACTCTGCTCCATGTCAATCCATATCATAAGGTTTTTGCTCACATGTATTTGGGGCTGTGGTGTTGCCAAAAGAGTGTGCACATTCCATGGGGACAGGACACTATCAGAACAGGACCGGAACACCATCAGAACCAGCCCGGGACATGAGTAGACAAGAGCGGGACACCATCAGAACATGACCGGGACACCATCAGCCCAGATCTGCCGGTGACCCGACGAGGCCTGTCCGCCTATGAGTTTTGCAAGACCCCAATCACATGGCAATTGGGAAAATGGCAGCTTGAATCATTATAAAATCATAGCTGGGAATTCCTTCAATCACTGCAAAGAGGATGGCACATCCGTATTCCAAACACATTGGCAGCATTCTTCTCTACAAAACCAGTGGTCATGAAGCCTCTTTCTACCTCGATCTCTCGTAATTCATCTGATTCTCCACAAAATGCAGGGTTACCTCAGGTATACTGTATACTGTAGTTTACTACTATTTACACCCCTCTGTTTTTTCCAGCCATACCTCGCGCCGACCTGGTCCGGACGGGCTTATTGCAAGGCGTTGGCACAGCCAAAGAACGGTAATTAAAAATCTCTGTTCAATGCAGCTGCATATATTCTTGCATCATCGGTGTTTTCATCGAAATTATGATGTCTTAAAACGTTTTCGTATGCAAATTTCTTTGTGATATGCAGCCAGTTTTGCCTCGGTTTCCCAACTCGTTTGGTGCCGTAATCAACTCTGGATGCAGTGCTATCAACGAATGATAATGGGGTCATCATTACTGCTTCTAATTATATGCCCAAGTAATTTACATCTTCTGTTCATATGGTAATCACTGAAACGTATAATTTGTCTGTTATCGCCCCGAGTTGGGAAGGCAATGGCAGTTGCTTCCTCAAGAATCTTTTGATTCGTACATGACCGATCTATGAAAGTAGGTGGTCTTTTGAGAATCTTTCTCAGGCTTCTTAATTGGAAAGCATCTAGTGATTTGCTTAGCGCCTGGGTTAAATGTATAGTTTCCAACCCATATAAAAGCTTACTCCGGATTATGGCATCAAAAATGATTAGCTTCCACTTTTTGCTGGCTCCAGAAGCTTTCCAATAGGCGCTGAGCTTGAACCAGGTCCTTCTGACCTCTGACATTTTATTGAGGATTTCATGTTTTATATTTACTGTCCTGTTTATCTCATTTCCAAGATACATGGCCTCAAATTCTTTGTTCAAAGGGGTCCCGTCATGAAAATGAATACACCCCTCTGTACTTGGCCTTAATGGCTGCTCATTTTATAGTGAAAATGCCCCTGAACCCGTTCAAATTCGTGTGCACCCGACGACTTCCAGAAGGCGTTCAAAAGCCGCGCACAACTGTTTACAAACCGTGCAGGAGGTGTAAAAGTGTTGCCTTCTGTGGGAAGGTTGGTCTAGCCTACGTGGCAAATGCCCAAAAGACACCTGACCTTGAACAGGCACTGCCAAATCCGTGCTGCTGTGTAAATTGCCGTTCGGACATGTACACAGTGTACGTCCTTACAAACAACACAAATTCAATTGGATTCCACATTGACCACATTGCAAGAACTATTTTCAGGCTTTATGGGTAGTGGCAGGTATATCTGTGACCTTGTGTAAAGCGTTGAATGGTGGAAGTGGATCTTCAATGATCTTCCTTCACCCGCGCGCTGGTTTGGGTTCCAATGGGCTGCAAGGTTCACTCCCCCCTGCGTGCGCCTTCTCAAAGGCGACCACCTTCCTCAAGCGAACGTCATTCTTCTCCTGGTGCGCTGGGAGTTGTTTCATGTCAGACAAAGAAATTGATGTTCTAAGTGTTTTCCTTGGCATTTGGCATACCTGCTGACTCTAAGTCTATGAATTCTAAACATTTCTATACCATGCCACTTCAAGCGTGCCTCCGTCGGAGCACAAGCGTCCGCTCTCGCCGTCCGATCGAACGAGGTGAATCCAACGAGGTGGACACCCACGCGTCGGAGCCTCCATCCGGGACCTTAGGCCCTTGATCTCTTCGGAGAGCTTGTCGCGATAATCCTCGAGTGGTTTCGCGAAGGAATTGAGATGTGGATACTATGAATGAGAAGTATTTTTGTTTTCAGCTGGTTCCACATGACGCTCGAGCCATAGAAAAGCATGGAAGTGGCAGAAATGGACTCCTACTCGGGAGAACTGGACGAGCATGGAGGCTCCCCGACCAAACTGCCCAAACTCCATGGCTTGAACACACTGAGAACCACCGCCCCCTGTGTCGCTGCCCTGAATTCTGTGAGCGCACCTCCTTTAGGCCCGGGTAACAGGCAAGCGCGAGCACGTTGTCGGGCTCCACTTCCTGAAGCGAGATTGAGACTGGCAAAATCTGATTGGCCAGCTGGCTGTTTGCCAGCAAAGTCCTGCAACCTTGGAAGCATTGCACCGTGCAATTCAAGTCTTGGGCATCCAAGAGGCTATATAGTGCCATGACTAGTGCCATGACTAGTACCATGACATATCCGTGCCTCTCCAGAATAACTGGAGATGCTTGTCTTGGAGTGCTGCTCCAGTCTTCTTGCTTCTCCCTTCCTAAGATGTTTATGGAATTATCCTCAAGCTTACTTCCATGCTCAAAAATCGCAAAGAACACCACTCCCAAACCGCGTCCATTGCGACGCTCTTCTGCACCTCAAACCACTTGTTCACATTGTAGCTTACTTTCCATCAGCTATTTCTGCAGCCCAACACAGCTACCTCGTCCGTCTGTCCCCCTCTATCCGTCGGATCCTTGGAGAACATCTCTTCAAACAAGTTCTCAGTGCAGTCCAAAAAGGCCGTCCTGGATAAGCTCAGCGGCTAGACTGAAGACTCTGGCCTATACAAGGAACACAAGGAACATACGGACACATGTCCTCAATTCCCCTCTCAAAAACTGTTACTATAGATTATGTTGAATTGAACCCCCATGAGGAATGGTCGATTAAATAGATATGATTCAAGTATACAGGATTATATCATAAATACATATAACTTACCTCACCTCTCAAAACCCTCACCAACATATGTCACCAAAAAATCTACCCTGCTCCTACAAAGCACAACATTCCCCCCCGTTACGAACCTGGGGCTTTCAGTTTCTCCGAGCAAGTCATGTGTAAAAAAAAGCTGATTGCACTTCTGCGCACTTCAAGGAACATCCTGCTCCTCGGTGTAATTCAATTTGATGCTATTCTATGCACCTAGTTGTAGAGAACTAAAGGGCCCTGAAAGATAAAGTCCCCGTGCATCAGTCACAAGCACAGCACCTAGGAATATTACCCTGAAAATAGTTGGATCGTCAATTCATCCATTCCATGTTCCAGATTCAACTTGCTGCTCATTTCACCAAGTTTCTTCAGCTTCTCGATGACAGCCTGCTTTTCCTTGGGAATCACAGTCTAGTTGGGCAGCATGCAGCCCTACTCTCAAATCATCTCACAAACCATGTCGTAGGCATGAAACCCCAAGGAATGACATCGGGGAAATTTGCTACCAAATAGAGTTTCTCTGGCTTCTCACCTCCTGCACCATCTTCTCACAAGGCCCACAACCCGCCAAAAGAATTGCTCTTCATTTGGAGGCCACACGCAGGTGCCCCTGCAAATGGAAGAACCCATCAAGAACCGTCCAAGTCCAAATCCCAACTGCACTCAACCCGCACCCTTTCCGTCTAGCTGCTGCTAGCGCTTTCTGTCTGGCCTGCTCTGTTTGCTCCTTCTCCCGGACCTGTTTGGAAGGGGAGATCGCGACATCTGTGGCAAAATTTGCCGGATCCCCAGTGACTTGTCATGGCCTTCTTCCAGATTTAGCTTTTCTTACAGTAAAGCACACTTACCAATACAGGCGTTTACTTGAAACTGATAATCTTTGACTGACTGTCCCAGTGAATCTGACAAACCATGATAAATCCAAAGTTCACCCGGTTCGCCTCTGTGATGCCTTCCAGGTCGTAACCCTCTTGTGCTTGGGCTACTGCCTGCGATCACACGAGCCCACGGTGCAGTTTTCAGCTTTTGAACCTAGGACTTGGTCAGGCTTTGCCTTACACCATCTACATTGACTAAAAGAAAAAGTGAGTTGAGGTACTTTGATCTGACAGATTTGGCGTGCTTTAGTGCTTTGGGACACCTCCACAACTCAGGAGCTTTCAGCATCGCGTCGCGCACAGTATCCAGCTACCACTGACCTTACGGTCAATGAGCATATAGTCCAAATACTTGAGGTGCGGCAGGTAGGCCAGCCTGAAAATCCGTCCCGAGCTCATGGCACATGCCATGGCATGCCTGCGAGAGACCAATAAACAGCACAACCACAGCGCAGCACGTCCACTGGGAGCTGCACTGTTTCAATTGAAACTCAAGTAGAGGGAAGCTCTTCCACCAACCACGGCTATCATGAGGAAAGGCTGAGGGCCAATAGACTCCCCAAAGGGCATCCAGTGTCAACATGCAAGAAGTACAAAACCAGTCCGACGAATCATAGTCCCATCTTGTGTGTAGTGTGGTCTTTTTTGACTTCTTGCTGCACACTGCCTGCAGGTTCAGCGATGTTTGCCTCCTACCTCAGGCCTGCTGACTAGAAGGTTTGCACCTTTGATCACCTTGTTCCAGCTAACTTCTCACAGACTCCGGATCAGTCAAGGCGAGTTCTAAGACGACAAACTTGCTAAAGCAGTTTGACAGAACCACGTGCCTTTTAACTTTCCCCGCACCTTTTTGCCACAGTTGGGTTCTCACTAGGACCTCCCCCGGGAGCCCGGACACGTGTTGGTTGTAGGACTCTGCGAGGCAAATCTTGTTGGAATCCATGCACAAGCAACGCAAGTTCTGAAACTGCCGCAGGTAGTCAATCTGCCTCCTTGGCGCCAACGAAAAAGGGAGAGAAGGTGAGAAGACAATGACTTAGTCAGCCCGACGGTGTGGCCTGGATCCAAAAGAAGAAGGCGGTGAAAGGGTTATATTATATATATATGATATGCTTAGCAGCTGAACTTGAATGTGGTCCGAGCATCAAGTCTTGGATGTTGTTATGCCCGAGCGACCTAGGCAAAGGGGTGAGGATGGTCAAGGTTGGTGCCACGGACTGAACGAGGTTTGGTGCCACGGACTGAACGAGGACAGCCCCAAACCAGTCCAAACTAAACATGTTCTATGCATATAGATTGGACCCTTTGACAAGTGGCAGATGTTAGTACTGCAGTGCTGGAGTTCTTAAAGTGCATTTGGTGATAGAGACAGCCTTTCTGAGCCAACGTGCACATTCAATCAGTTGCAGGCTTTCCCCACTGCAGGCACAAAACAAACACTGCGCTTCAGCTCAACGTAGCAGAAAACAAGTGTGCTTCATCCAAGTTGCATTTAAAACAAAAATAATATGCCACACAGCTAGCTTCTTCTGAAAGCCAAGTGGCAATATGTTCAGCTTAGGGCAACCGTCAAGACGATCTGCAAAGCATGGCGCTTTGTACTGTTTGGTGCTTAAGGGCCTTGCACCCCTTGTCACTTGGTCAGGAATCTGCAAAATCGGGTTTGATCTTCGGGTGCAGCACGCCGAACACTTGACAATCAAATATGTCCTACAAAACTGCGGATCACTTGACAAATGCCTACACCAACCGAACCACAAAAGGTTAAAAGCTTCCAAAAGTCAGGGAACCTGGTCGGAAACAAACTCCATGGAAGAATGTATCTGATGTACCATGATAAATAATGCATCTCTAATCTTAATCATACTCTTTAACATCTATAATCTATAGCATTCTATAATATTATATAGGTTGGATTCTGCAGGGTTCTATTGCACGTCTGACGGGTCAACTTGCTTGGCCATTCATAGTTGATCGGCACCCACAAGGACTTGCCAAATGTGAGTGATGGACAAGTCTCTGGCTAGGTCCCTCGGATTCTTGTCCGGGCTCCTGTCACCACTCTTGGAGCCACGCCTCGGATCTCTTCAATCTGATTGTGATAGAGGGAGAGGTCCAAGAGTTCATGAAGCTCACCAAGGCCTTCGATTTCTCCTCGGAGCTTCCGGGTTTTCTCGCGGAATCATTCGTCTTGGGTCCGCCTCACAGGGGCGTTTCAGCCTAAAACATCCTAAAACTCGTCCAGCCAAGGATGTCCGGGAGGGTTTCGGAGAAACGGTTGACTTTGAAGAGAGCTGCCCTCACTTCTATGTGGTCAAAGGGTCACGGCACTTCCGGAATTGTTGAGCCAGTCGCACCATACAAAGCACAAAAGTGGCCCAGGCAGCGCATCAACAATGAAAGCAACTCTAGACCTATGAAAACGCGGGACTTCTGTATGCGATTTTGACAGTCATCGATCTCATGCATTCTACCACACTAGTGGCGGACCAGTTGCACGACAAGCTAAACTAGAAGCTTAGTGACTTAGTGCTCGAAGGTCTTTGGCCAAAATCACATATAAGATAATCAACTAGACTATACCCATGTTATTCTGAGTTTTAATCTTAGGACTGACAAAGGTTCCACACCCCTCCCACATTGCCGTGCTTGCGCAGGTATGCGAAGGTGTTTGGGCTATCTTGGGCTCTTCAAGGGCTCTTCACTCCGCGGGTCTCGTCACGCAAGGAAAACGATGGTCGTTTCTGGCTCGACTCGAGCTGGGGCGAGCATCGGATGTTGTTGAAGGAAAGGTCTAGCCAGGTGAGCTGCTTGAGATGACCCAAGTTCGCAATCCTCAGATGCAACTGACCATGGCTTCATGCGGGGCAGTTGTGGAACCCACCCACGGGAGGAAAGGTGTGGAACCCACCCACGGTGGCGAAGGAATGAAAGACTACGATGATCTACGATGTCTTCATCGAGCCAATCGACATGAGCAGCTGCTCTCGGCAGGAACTGCAAAAACTATACTCCTTTGTCGTTTGTGACCTGAATTCTGCCCCGCCTCCCTCTGCAAAATATGCAACGGCATGACAATTACAATAAAACCCGCACACACACACTCACACACCCATCTTTCAAGCCACAGAAAAGACTAAACAGCACCTCTTTTAGCAACTCTCCTGCCCTGACCTTCCCTCCCTGGCCAAGGGTTCTTATCTATGATGTTGTTGTCCAGCCGAAGGGTGAGCAGCGAGTCGAAGTTGTTCAGATTGGAGATCTCATCAAACATGACACGCCCAAAGTGAAAAAAACACTATCAGGACTTGATACTTGAGCCCTAAACAACACAACATCAGCGTGAGTTATATGATTAGATCTCGGTTCAAAGTCCATCAGATTGCAGATGATCTTTGTGGGGTGTGCTGCTGTGGGACTGGTCCCCAGCAAAATGAATTTCGCAACACAACCAGTCCTCTGGGCCTCTGGGGCTGCGGCCTTCACACGCCCAAGGATTAACCAAACTGCAATGAGGCATAATGAGGCAAAATCCTGATAAAACATATGTATAGAATATACTTACTATATGTTATGTGCAACTATATATGCCATATGCATTATGGACCACAAATAAACAAATATGTGTATAATTATATGTCATTGTGATATATATATGAGTGTTTTTGTGTGAGGAATGCTGTTTTTGTTTGAGGAATGCTGTTTTTGTGTGCGGCCACTGAGCCCACGCACAGTGCATGGTGGAGCAGCGCTTTGATTCCTTCGGGGGTTCCAATGCTGGCTCCTGCCCTGCTAGCATCCCAATAATCATTTGCCACATCTCTTAAACGCAACCTCTGGACTCCCACAAACCCAAGGGGTTCACCACGTTGGCGCATCTTTTGTGATCTGGCACCCACCATGTAGGCCTCAATAATGTTCTTGAAGGAGAGGCGTAAGGAGGTGACGCGTGGGAAGTCGATCGGCTCCCAAGCTTCTCCATCTGGGCGAATGGGTTCCTGTGTGATGTTGGACGGGGCGTTTGGGGCGGACATGGCGGAATATCCTGATCTCTTGGAGTTGTGGAGACGTATGACAGAGAAACATATATATATATTTATAATATATATATAGGTATTTGTTGATTGTCCTTGCCATGTTACATGTTCTTGATTGATCCAGCTGAATGCATTGCATGGTGTCGCTGATGGAATCTTCTCTCTTGGATGTCGCCGGGCAAAAGCTTCGTAGAAACACACACAAATACATACAAAATTTATCAAATCCTGTATGCTTATACTGCATACTTTATTGTCCTGTAACACTCTAGCAACTGAGACCCCCAAAGGAGTTGCAAACCAGTGATCCCAGCAAACTTGAGTACACCGAAAAGGTGCTGGAAGACTCGTCTCGGACTCTTCTGCTCGTCCTCGACCCCCTCGATCAGAAGCTCTTCGCTGATCACCTGGGGCTCCACCACATCTGCCTTTTTCTTCCTCAGCGCATGGGGGTGCTACATACTGTAGACCAGAACTCAATTTCAAGTGCGCTTTAACATGGACCACTGGAAACGGTGACTTCCTGGGGAAACGGTATTAGCACCTTTTTTTGCAATTTCTGGACCCTCACTAACATGGACCGTTCCCACTCTCAGTCTATGATCGATTTTGACACTAACATGGACCAACTGCACTCTGACCATAAACTGAACGCAGGCTAACATAGACCGCGCCGGTAGAGATCAACATGGCCCGGTGGAGGCTAACATGGACCATGTCACATACCTCTAGGGGCCTCCTGAACATGGTCTACGTTAGTCTCAACCGAGGTACTGCAGGTGCACAACTAGACAGATCTTTTAGCACGGTGGAGGCCAACATAGACCATGCCAAACACCAACAGGGCCTATCTGAACTTGGTCTAGGTTAGAACGCAAAAGAAGGGTCCATTGCTAGAAGGTTGGAGGTCATTGCAAGTAGGTTGGAGGCCATCGCAAGTAGGCCTTGGTGGGGTGTCATCACAAATCTCATGGGGAGAGACAGGCGCCAAACTAGACAGCTCTTTTATCATCTATAGCATAGCCCGGTGGAGGCTAACATGGACCGTGCCACATACCTCTAGGGCCTACCTGGTGCATCATTGCTTCTTCAACGTGTTCTTTTTTGACATTTTCACAGATTGCTTCAAACAGACTTCAAAAATCAATGGAAGACAGGAAATGAAGGAATTAGAGCAGGAAAATGACTGGGGCGGCGAGGGGACGGAGACTCCGCACCGAGACAGTGTCGGGTCCCAGGGCGACAGTGAGCGAATCGGGTCCAGCGGACACCGTTGAGACTAACCTGAGTCGGGCTTGTGGCTAACATGGACCGTTCCTACTCTCAGTCTATGATCGATTTTGACACTAACATGGACCAACTGCAAATCTGACTATAAACTGAACGCAGGCTAACATAGACCGCGCCGGTAGAGGTCAACATAGCCCGGTGGAGGCTAACATGGACCATGCCAAGTACCCGTAGGGCCCACCATGGCACATCTGAATTTGGTCTAGGTTAGTCTCAACGGTGTCCGCTCGGAAACTAGACTAACATATGCCCCCAAAAAAACTTTTGGTTTGGCGAAAATGTTAGTTTTCACCGGTGTAGGTCAAACCCGGCCACCAGTGGCCACCAGTGCCGGGCTTGTCCCATGGGAAGGATGAGTTGGTGGCTTGTGCAGCGGCCCTGAAATGATCGTGTCACTGCACGTTCCCTCTTGGTCCAACGGCAAACTGGGGCCGTTTGCGGCGATCAAATCCAAACCACTGGATCATGAATTCCCCTTAAGGCCCTGTTTCTCTCCTCGGCCTGCTCATGTCACTCTCGGAAAAGTGTCCGTTGCTCAATGGCGATCTTCGCCACGTTGGCATTCGAGGAGCCCTGCCCTAGGTTCGCCAACGTGTCCGCCATGGCGACGCTCCGCCCGGCCTTCGGGCCTTCAGCCTCTGGTGTCGGGCTTGGGCCAAACCCACACCCACGATGTCCATACGGTCTATCCGAAGAAGTCTATCCCTTGCACCTCGCGAAGGAAGGCGATTCACCAATCAACATAAGCCGGATGAAAAGGAGGAGACTCAATGAGATGTGGAGCAACATCATAGATTTCGCCAGCCTTTCCAAACAACACATTGCCCTTTTTCAGTTGCGATGGTGTCCTCAGGCGCGCTTTCACCTACAGTAGCAGCTAGCAGCTTGCGAGGCTGGGATGTATGTAGGATGGCTAAACTTACAAATAGCTTCGACATGTTTCGACCAGTCTGGCCGTTACTCAGCTGAAGTCTCGCCAGGAAGCTGCATGAAACTTGGCTACTAGTCTCATGAATCTCATCATGAATCATGATTCATTATTTCAAGTAGCTGCTGCTCATGGGGAGACCTGTCCTCTTCTCTTCACATGTGTCGATTTGTTCACTTTAGGGTGCTCGATGGTTGACGCATGTTGACGCATGGCCCGATGTTCTGGGCGCTGTTCTACGGTGACACAAAGCTTCAGCAATCGTCCAGCCTGCGCAGCAACAAGTAAAGCTGCGGTGCAAGCCAGCACGCACAAGTCATTACCATCTGCTTTCTAGTTAGTGGGTTATGTTGAACTCTAAGTACTATATAGTCGGTAGTGGTTGGGACCTAGGAAATTATTACACTCGCATGGCGCGAGCCCCATCTTGGTCTATGGCATGGCTCATGCCCCTCCTCTCCTTTGCCGCTTCGCACCCCAGCTTGCCGCCGAGCGGACTGTTGCGATCAACAGGGTGCCCTATGTGGATATACAGGAGCCTAACAAAGTCATCCCTTAGTCACCCCTTGCCCCCCTTGCCACGATTTCAATGTCAAATTACCCTGGCAACATGGCAACGCTGTTTCCAAGAAGTCATCCCCCAGTCAGCTCCAGGAGCTGATCCCAATGGAACGTTGTTACCCAAACAAGGTTTCTCGCCAAAAGAGTAAACCCAAAGAGTGCAAAGACCAATGGAACGCTGTAGAAATTCTGCCGCCAACTTTAGTCACATCAGGGGACTCGAAACGAGCCAATCCGCAAGTAGTGGCCCGACGCGATCGGGAAAACAAGGAGTTTACAGATATTCTATCGTTATGTTGGGCAATGGCAGCCATACACGGCCAACCATCAAATATTGTTTGCGAAAAAAACGAACAAAAAACACACAAAAGCAAATGAAAATGCAAAAGCAGCGCAAGTTGCTTTGTTTTTGCATGTGCTTTGCTGATTTTTGTTTATTTCCTGGTACCACTTCTGCACTTATGAGAACTTTTACCCGTCAGCAATATTTGCTGTACGCTCCTAGGAAAAAAGCGAAAAAGAACGAAACTAAAGCGAAGCGAAAAAAATGTGAGAAACATGCGAACATAAAGCGGAAAAAAAAAAGGTGAAAAAAACAACGACAAACACGCACACCTACATGTTGTTGCTTTTTTGTTTGCTTTGCCTTTTGTTTTTCTTTTTTTGCCTTATAATCTTTATAAAAGGGTTTTTGGCTCCTTGTATCTATGGCTGGCGCGCCCGACGTAATTCTATCGATTGAGTTGAAAGAAAGTTTCATTACAGTGTGGAAGCAGCCAAGCAGTGGCAGCAGCACACCAGCAGCATGCAGCAGCACACAAGCAGCAGAACACCCCAGACCAAAAACTATGTCAAGCCTAGACAGTGGCGGAGAAGGGGTACCAGCAAAGCGCGCGCTACTACAAACATCTGGCAGCAACACCCTGCAACGAGGGGGCCAAGCACTCACTTGCGCACCCCCAAATCCCAACGAGGGTACCACTAGCTCTCCCAACAGCTCTCGCTCGCTTGGCGTAATCTGTCCAAGTCCACAAGTGTTCCTTTGCCAACCTGCACTGGCAAGCCTGGAAATGACTGTTGCTTTGCCTGTACTTGTCTCGCGTGTGTGTTGAACATCCCTTGTGAACTGCTTGCAGGAATGGGTTGCCAGTACCGCGTTAAAACACCTTTCGATAAGAGCCCCAGCATACAACCTAAAGTTGGTCCCTTTCCAACCAACAGCGTTAGCTTGTGTTTGGGAAAAAGAGATGGCTTTCCGCAGAGCATTCCCCCCCAAGGCAGGGTAGCAATACCTCAGAAAGTGACGACATTGTCTTTTGCCTGTATGACCTATACTCACTCTGCCTCAAAGCGGGCACGGTATCTGTATGTATCTGTTATAAAATCAATGCATGTTGGCGGCGGCGACCTCCTCATCATTCTTCTGCGCCCTTCTTGAAGTCCTTCAAGAATTGTTGCATGGCACAGCTGTTCGTGCCGGCAGCACCCGGGGGGCACTGGCACCAGGTGGCCGCACAGGGCACCAGGTGACGCGGCGGCATGCCCTTGGCAGGTGGACCTGCCAGTGTCAAATGGCATGAGTCAAGGGACGTGGGGGGTGACCAGTAAGGCGAGGATCATCCCGAATTCACAAAGTGCTCTGGAAAAGGGACCATTCAAAGGTTCACCAAAAAAGCGGGTGTTTCAAGCGCCAAGGTTGAAACATCCCCATCCCTGGCAGCTCCATGGCTCGGACGCCTGCGTGGTTGGCACGCAAACGACGAAGAAAGAGGAGCGTGGCCCAGCGCTGGGCTTCCTGATCGACCCAACTCCACTGAACCGATGGTCACCACGTGTCAAGGAGAGAGTGCCACTTGAGGCTCATTCAATCAAGGGTTACGCATTGCAAACTCTGGGTGAACTCATGCAATCTCCCAAACAAAATAGACAAGTTGAAGGCCCATGGTAAATAACGACCATGATACATCATCATATACCATGATAACGCCATATACCAAATCCTGTATGTCACTATTGTCATTGCTTTAGCAGCAAGACTGCGAGGTGATTCGGGGGATGCTAAGACCCCGCTCAACCGCAGCAAATGCTCAAATGTTTGATCTTGCAGCTTATATAAGCCTGCTTCAGCAGGTCCAGTGGCCCCGCTGAACCAATGCAATGACTGAGGCCAAACAGCTGGAAGACGCCATACTTTTCCATCAAACAAGTACTTCTTGTG